AGAACAATTATTATTAAATGGCAGCAAGTGCCCTTGTATTCTAATTGCTGCGACTCCGAGGCCTAATCTGCTGTGACTCCTTGATTTGTTGGCTCATGTGGCATAATTAAAAATTAAAGTTCATTGCTGCTGTCGCTTCCCGGGGCTGTTCTAACAAACAGTCACAAACCGGACGACTCCAAATAAAGGAAATGCAGCAAGGTGGCTTCCTTCTGGAGGCTGAGAGAGAGAGAGCAATCATGCGTGAGCTTGCATCCCTGGCCTCTGTCCTGGCCAGCCCTGCCTGGTGTTCTTTGTAGTCATTTGTGCTGGTCCGGGCCTCTGCCTTCATGTTGTGTGTCGCTGTGCACACTTGTCTGTCTCTGATGAGAAGATAACGTTGGATTTGGGCTATAGCCAACGCAGTTTGATCTCCTCTTGATGCCTGCCTTCATTGTATCTATTTCAAAACAAAGGTCACGTTCAGACTTTCCAGATGGACATGGATTGAGGGGAGACAGTGCTGCCCCTCTCTCCTGGCCCGTGGTGCCTTGCTCAGCCTTTCACCTGGCCACCCCTGCTGTGGTGCAGGTGGAGCATAGTCATGCGGCTGCCTCCTGCTCTCCCATCTCCTTCCCAAGGTCTCCTTAGCAACACACATTCATTTATTCTGTGCACGAGCCCCTGTTTAACAGTATTTATTTCCAGAGTCAGAAATATTTGATTCCAATTAGGGACACCAAATTGAAATCCACGCAGCATCAAAGATGCAGGTCAGATGATAACTGAGAGATCTCGACATCACACTGGGAGGACAGGATGCAGGCTCCCAGGGCAGGCAAACCACGCAGCTCCCACCCTGACACATGTCTGAGCTTGGAAAAGCAGCTCAGTCTTAGCCAGCTTTCATGCCTGCAGAATGGACATGCTGGTTTCTTTCCATGTCATGGAACTTGAAATGCTGGTGTGTAGGAACAGAAACTTGGCAAACCTATGGTGAATAAATGATGAATGAATCACTTCCGGCTGAAAGAGAAGCAATAATTTAGATGCAAAGAACAGTCCTCAAGCCACATTGACAAAATCAGAAAGGAAGATGACAGCATTTTCCTAGAAAGAGCATCCTTGGCCATGCGATCAAGGGCATTATGTGATTATGTGCAATCAAGGGCATTTATTCCAAGAGTAAGAAGTATTAATTATGGGGGCCCAGTGTGGTAACAGCTAAAGTCCTCGCCTTGAACTACCGGGATCCCATATGGGTGCTGGTTCTAATCCCAGCAGCCCTGCTTCCCATCCAGCTCCCTGCTTGTGGCCTGGGAAAGCAGTCGAGGGCGGCCCAAAGCCTTGGGACTCTGTACCCTTGTAGGAGACCCGGAAGAAGCTCCTGGCTTCTGGCTTTGGATTGGTTCAGCTCTGGCAGTTGCGGCTGCTTGGGAAGTGAATCATCAGACAGAAGATCTTCCTCTCTGTCTCTCCTCCTCTCTGTATATCTGACTTTCCAATAAAAATAAATAAATCTTTAAAAAGAAGCCATATTAATTATGAGAGGTAGTCATGATGACAGACATCAGTGTTGTCCCCATGCAGGGGAAGATGGCTGGGAACAGCTTCCCAGCATCTAGGAGAAAGAATGAGGAGTATTTCCAAACAGATTCTGCTCCTGGAACCCCCTTCCCTGTTTCCTGGGGACTGGCGTCATGAGGTATGGAACAGTCCTGAGAGATACCCTGGTTTGTGATGGGTGTTGTCCCCCAGCCAATGCCAGACAGTCCTGCAGGTTTCAGGAAAGCTTCCATCCTGGGTAAAGCTGACTGTGCAGGCCTGTGATTTTGGACGGGCTGGTCCATGGGAGGAAGGAAAGGCCTGTGGCACTGGCCTGCCTGCTCTCAACTGGAAGGCTCCTGAGAGACTCCTGCCTAGGGACTAATGGCAGGGGGAGCCAGCTGCCCTGCACCACTCATCCCTCTCTGCTTCCATGGGCCGAATCAAAACTGCTAGGGGCCCTGGGACTCAAAACTGTCATGTGTCACCTTTAGTTTCATCTGTATGCCACTAAAGCCTGCTAGCTGACTCCACAAGTCCTCTACCACCCAGACCTAAGGACCCAGACAGACCTATCAGGTTTATTTAACAAAAAGGAAACTTTTAGAGATAAAACATTAATTTTATTTATGGAGCAGGGAGAGAGAGACAGAGAGACAGAGACACGGATTCACTGATTCACTCCACAAAGCCCCAGGAGCCAGGAGCTCATCTGGGTGTCCCAGTGGGGGGGCAGGAATCCACATCTTGAGCCATTGTCTGCTGCCACCTGAGGTTTGCCTTGGCACAAAGTTGGCATCAGAAGCCAGTTTTTGCCAGAACTTGAACAGCAGCATTTTGATGCAGGATTGATGTGTCTAATTTCCAGCCCCGCCCATCAGTGAACCCCGTTATTTACTGGGCTCATGCCTGTGGGCAGCTCAGCTACGTGACTCAGCGAGCTGCCAGGGAGGCTGGCAAGTGGGTGTTTCATCAGGGCACCACATGTGCATGCCACAAGGCTTCTGAAGGAAAAGGGGAAAATGGAGGCTGGGGAGGGGGAGGTAGTTAGCAGTCTACCACGGTATCCCTTACTTCACTCTTAACAAGAAACTGTTTAAAAGATTTTTTAAAAATTCGTTTTTGAAAGTTGGAGTTAGAAGATCTTCCATCCACTGGTTTGCTGCCCAGATGGATGCAGAGGCCAGGAGTCTTCTGGATCTCTCATGTGGCTGGTGAGGGCCCAGGTACTTGGGCCATCTTCTGCTGCCATAAGATGGCCCAAGCTGAATTTGAGGTGGAGCAACCAGGACACAACTGGTTCCCATATGGAGTGTCAGGGCTGCAGGTGGAAGCTTAGCCTACTATGCCATAATGGTGTTGTAGGAGGACATTGTGACCCTAGAGGGTCAGCGAGTACAGGTTTACAGTTGATTGGATAATATTTGCATGAGAACAGCCGAATGGCTACCTTTTGTATACCTGATTGGATATCATTTGTACAAGACCAGTGGAATGGACAGTATGTGTGTGAGAACACTTGATGGAATATACAACACAAAAGGAGTTCCAAACAAGAGTAGGGAAACAGTCGATGGGTTTTGTTGCTAAGCTCAATACCTCCTCTCTTAACCAATATAACCCTCAGTGTATAAAGTCTGATGCCACTAATAAACTTCGGCTTTGACCATCCGTCAGGGTCCACGGGTGTTATTATCGGCTCCGTGTACCAAGTCCATCGCTGCGGGACAGTGACAGGTGTCTCCCTCCACACCCCAAGAAACTCTGTCTGCTATTGGTTTTTTCAATAAAAAAGTTCATTGGTGAATAGTTGCACTTTAAAAATTAAAGAATCAGGACACTAAATCTATTTCCTAGAGACAACCACCATTAACACTGTGGAGATTTTGCAACTTCCACTTTCGAGATGAATTCTTAAGTTTGATTTCATGTCCTGTTTTTTACTATGTATTTTGCATGTCATTGAAAACTCTTCACAGAAATTTTGAATGATGCCGAAGGAGTCCGTGACATGGCCGGAACTAGATATGTCATCATACGCTTAGTCATTCCTCTAATGGGCATTTAAGTTGTTAAAAGCTTCTCATTATTCACAATAAAAATCTCCTGGGCTCTGACTGGCAGTGACATTCCCGGTACACTTGAGCTGCCACCTTGTTTCTGGATAGACAATGCCATACTGCCTTCCTGAAAGCTGACTCATTGCACTCTCTAGCATAGGGAAGGAACAGAGATTTTAAACTCACCGTGACTGGTGGGTGGTGCTGGTTCCAGTCCCAGTGGCTTGGCTTCTGATCCAGTTTCCTGCTAATGCAACCGAGCATGGCCCACGCACATGGGAGACTCAGACTGTGTTCCCGGCTCCTGCTTTAGGGCCAGTCCAGCCCCGGGTTCTGTAGGCATCTGCAGAGTGAAGGAGCATGTGGGAGATTGCTCCTGCACCCACAGCACCATCACTTTGTTGTTCAAATAAATAAATCAAGTGGAACCTGCAAATTGGAGACGATGCCATGTCACTGTCATTATGAACATTCTTATTCTTCTTCATCCTGATACCAGGCAAAACAGAAATATCACACAGAAAGGACGTGTGGTATTCATGCATCCGGATTTCATTTGTAGCATTGAACATGTTTAGCACACAGGCCAGAAGGCTGTTTGTGGGTTAACCTTCTTGCCTAATGAAGCAGCAAGGCAACGTGGCTGAGGGGTCCCTGGTATCCCAAAACCACCTCATCTCTCCCTTTAGTCTGAGCAAAATTTCAGCTGGAGAAAGTTGGAAACTTGACCCAAATTGAATTTTCTCCAATGCAGCTATATCATTTTGCGCCATCCTGCCAGACTACTGACCACATCCTCAGATTAAAAAAAAAAAAGAAAGAAAGAAAGAAAGAGAGAGACAGAGACCCATGGTGGAACAATGTGCTCTGGGCCCTGGGCATGACTAAGCTGCTCTGTGGCTGGAGGGAAATTTCAAAATTGAAAGAATTTTCAGTGGCCAAGTGTAGTCTTCCATTCCAGAATCAGTCAAGCCAATTGCGGTATTTTTCATACACCCCATGGAGAAGCTGCTATTTCCTCTCCTTGGGAGGGAAGTACTGACACCCCTTGTAGTCAGCTCCCAGTCTCTCTTTTTTGTTTGCCTAGGGACAGTGTCCAACAAGGACTTCTAGTTGCTGAGCCCCTTGAAAGGACAAAGGCTTCATGTGGTTTTGGTTTTTTAGCTTATTTGAGATCATTGTAGAGGCACCTGTGTTTGGAAGAGCTGGTGTGTATGTCCTCAATTCAGTGTCCCCCGGCAGTAGCTGCTTTGTGCAAAGCTGCAGAACGGTGACACATCCAGGACATGAAGAGCGATGCAGTCAGGACTCAGGGCGGCACTTCAAGGTTTCCCTGTAAGGCCCAGCCAGGGTGGGTGAAGGGCAGCCTAGGAGGAGGCTGTACAGGACCAGTGCACAGCACCCAGGAGCCCTCCCAATAAAGCTTGCGTTAAGCTGAACTCTGTAGATTTCTGGTTCTGAACATGACCTCCAACTTTACATGCCCTTCATAGTGGCATCTCTCTCTCATCTGTCTCTTAACTTTTAGCAGCTACAAATCTGTCCCTGATTTATATATTTTTGTTATTTTAAAAATATGCCATTGGAGCCATGACGTATATAAGTTTTCAAGACCTACAGAGAGAGAGAGCTGCTATCTTCTGGCTTATTCCCCCATGGCCGAGGTGGTCAGTGAATGCTCCTGCTGGGTAGCAGGGACTCAGCTCTTCGAGCCATCACTGATGCCTCCTGGGATCTATGTTCTCAGGAAGCTGCACTCGTGGACCAGAGCTGGGAATTGAACCCGGGTACTCTGAGCAGGTGTCCTAATTGGCATTATCATTGCCAGACTAAATGCTGGACCTAGAATTGGTATTTTATACCTAGAATAACTCATCCATGCTGTTGTGCCTATCACTTTTTGTTACTGATTTGTATTTCTTAGTATGTGTGCAGCTTGTTTAACTCTTAAAGGACATATTGTTTGTTTCCAGCGTTCTGCCATTGTGAGTAAAGCTGCCATCAGCCTTCCTGCGCAGCATTATGGGTGTGGTCTCCATTTCTCTGGTATAAACATCCTCCCATTTGCTGGTTTGCTCCTTAAATACCCACGACAGTCTGGGCTGGCCTATGTTGAAGCCATGAACCAAGAACTCAGTCCATTTCTTCTCTATGGTGACAGGCACCCGACCAGTTGAGCTGTCATTGCTGCCTTCATTATCAGTGCAGTTATTTTTGCTTCTATTTACATGGAATACTCTTCTGTGTCCCTTCAATTTTTGTGCATCATTTTACTAGTGAAGTGATTTTCTTGCAAGCAGCATATTATTGAGTCTTATTTTCTTATCCATTCAACCAATATGTATCTTTTAATTAGGAAATTTAGTCCATTTATATTCAGTTATTAATAATAAGCAATGACTCAGTCCTGTCATTTTAATATTTTGGAATGTGGAATATGCAATTTTATTCCCTCCTGGCTATACGGTTTCTGTCGAAAAATAAGGTAAGCCAGTGAGAGTCCTCTTAAAAGTAACCTGGTGCTTTTCTCTTGCAGATTCTAGAATACTCTCTTTATATTATATGTTTGAGTGCTTGACTATGATGTGAGTGAGATTTTTTCCAACTTGCCTGTTTAGGGTTCTCTGGATGTCCTGTAGTCAGATGTACATATCTTTTAGTGTGGAGTTGTTTTCAGCTGTTGGGTCATTGACTAGGTCTGTGCATTTATTACTGTTTCAAGAATTCCCAGTGTCCAAATATATGATTAAAAAAATTAAATCCTAAAGACCCCAAAGGCTGTCCTTTTTACTTCTCCTTCTTTCCTTCTGTCTCTCGCTCTTTCTCTCCTGATTGGGAAATTAAAAAACAAAAAACGAAAAACAAACAAGCAAAAAAACCTTTTCAGCATCTTCAACTTCAGATATTCCTTTCCTGCTTGTTCTGGTTTTATTGAAGTCTTAAGCTGTATTAAGAAGTTTGAAATTTATTTGAAAGGCAGGCAAACACATGCACAGAGAGATAGAAATAGATAAATAGGTTGGCTAATTGATTGATCTTGCATCTGTTGCTCCATTTCCCAAGTGCCTGCAACAACCAGAGTTGGGTGAGGCTGAAGACAAGAGCTGGGAACCCATGTGGGTCTCCCGGATGGTTGATGAGACGCTAAACACTGAGTCATCATCTGCTGCTTCCCCAGAAGTGGGAAGCTGGATGGCAAGCGAAGGAGCCCTGACTTGAACCAGGTGCTTCACTATGTGATGCAAACGTCCCAAGTGGGGTCTGACCTGCTATGTTTGAAGCCTGCTCCTTCATGTGGCTTACCAAATTCGTTATGTGTAAGACTTTTCTCTGCTTCTTTTCAAGATCTGTCTCTTATCTGAATGTCTTATTTGTATAATATGCATTCTTTCTCAATTTTAACTCTCTCTGTAATATCTGAGTCTGAGATTTTTTTTTCTGATCATCCTTTTGAATTTTTCAGTAGGCACTTTGACAATCTTTATATGGTCTGATCCTAAGATACCACTACATTCCTTTCCTCATATTGCCCTGTTTTTTTTTTTTCATGCTGTTTATATCCCTACATTAGTATTTATTCACTTGGTAAATCAGTTGTCTTACCACCTTCAAAACACATGGCTTTATGAGTTCAAAGCTTTTTCTTTTTCTCTAAAGATGTGTTTGCATGCCAGCTTCATAGGCTATTTTGCCCACTGTGTCAGTTAGATGCCACCTTTTGGTACCTCTCTATCAAGTCTTATAGTAGTGGTGGTAGCGATGGTGGGCATTGAAGGAACTTCTGAGGACTGAGGCCCAGTGGCTTTGTTTGGATTCCTGGCATATGGTCCACTAGTCATGTCCATGAGAAGGTCCAGAGCTGTGGTACTTGTGTCGGTGCTAGTCTGGAAAGGTCCTGTGGATCCCCCAGCACCTTCTGCTGCTGTGTGAGGGCTTGGGGTTGGTACCACTGGCACTGTCCACATGGCTGGACACCACAGGACTGGCACTGGTACTCAGACAGATGGACCCGCCACCCCCACTGCTGCTGTTTGTGAGAAAAAGCTATAAAAATGGAACTGGCACTGGGATAGTCAGGGCATGCCCTATATGATAATGCTAATTTTATGGGTTCTTTGTTGTTTCTCTATTTCTGTTTTATTTTTTCTGAACATTCTTTAGAATTCTATTCTTGTTTAACCTATTATGTTAAGTGGCTCTTTGTTAGATTTTTAAATTGTTGCTGAAGGTATTACATGTGCATAACTTATCAGAAATAATTAATATTTTGCTGTTGCACTAATTAAGGGTAGAGAAAGCCCATGTTCCTATATATATTTTACCCTTTCTTATGTATAGCATAAGTATCTTAAATATTTTTTCTCAAACACTTACAACCCTATTAGATAGGTTTATGACTTCTGCTTCAACCTCTAAAATAAATTTAGGCCACTCAAGTGGATAAGGAAAACGGATTGATTGTATTTACTCATATTTTGCTTGCTATTCTTCTCTTCCTTTGCTTCCTTCTTCTTAGTGTCCCAGGGTTGATTCTTCTCCTATTTTTCCTTCCTAGAGAACTTCATTTAACTACTCATTTAGAGCAATTATTCTGGGGACAAATTATTTTAGTTGTCTTCTTGAAGTTGTTTTGATTTTCCCTTCATCCTAAAAGTGTAGTTTTACTGGGTATGGGATTCTGAGTTAAGAGGTTTTTTTTTTTTTTTTTTTTTCCCATTACCCACTTTTTCTGGTCTCCATGTTTTTTTTGAGAAATCAGCTACTGTTCAATTTTCCCCTTAAAATTAACATGTCATTTCTGTCTGCTGTTCTCAGGATATTTTTCATTACTGATTTTAGAAGTGTAATTATGATACACCTACGTATGGATTCCCTTGAGCTTACCCTAGTTGGGTTCACTCACCTTCCCAAATCTGTAGGTTTAATCCCCTTGCTAAACATGGAAAACATTCAGTTGTTGTTTCTTGGAAAACTTTTTCAGCACAATTCCCTGTATCCGCTCCTTTGGGATCTGATTATGTGGATATCGTAGCTTTTTTCATAATATTCCAAACCCTGAGGTTCCCTTACTTTAAAGAATATGTATTTTCTTTCTTCCATTTAGGTTGAGTGAATTCTGTTGCTCTGTTCATCTAGTCCACTGATTCTTCTGTTTAATCCATTCTGCTATGGAGCCCATCCACAGAGCTCTTTGCTACTGTAATTTTAGTCCCAAAATATCTGTTTGGTTCTTCATATATTCTGTTTCTTTGGTTAGAGCTTTTTCTTTTTCTTTTCTTTCTTTCAGCTTTATTGAAGTATTATTAACAAATAGAAATGAATGTGTATTCGAGGCATAGAATGTGATATTTTGACATATATATGGATTGTGAAATGATTACTATAATCACTTTTTAATTTTCATCTGCTTTGAACACATTTGCGGTTGTTTGAGGAAGCATTTTTATCATGGCTGGTTTTAACTTTTATCACATAATTCTGTCATCTTGTCATCAATGTCTGATGAATATAATTTTTTAAATTTAATTGGAACTTTTCCTTGATCTTGACATGATGAATCATTTTTAAAATTAAACTTGGACAGTTTTACATTGTTATGATTTTTAAAGAAATTTTATTTTTGATGATGTTTACATAGTTGATCAGGGTGGGAAGGGTTGAGGGTTAGGGGAATGTGGGTGAGACCATTGTCTCCAAATTTTCTTTTTCTTCTTCCTGTGTCTGTGGGGAAAGAGGGACATGAGGGGAGGAAGCCGCATCCAGCCTAACAACCGCCTCAGTACCAGGCATGGGGAATGGCAACTCACTGTCATCCTGGGGGTCCCCGATGTGGAGTCCCCAGACCCCACAGCTCTTGGAAACGAGGGAAGCTGGCGGTGGCTCTGGCTCTGCAAAGGTGGAAGGCCTGCCTTTTGTTTTTGTTTAACATGAAAGATTTATTTGTGTGTATGTGTGGGGGGAGAGAAGAGAGAGAGAGAGAGACATCACTTCCACCTGCTGGCTCATCCCACCAATGCCTGTGAGACCTGGGAATGGGCCAGGCTAAAGTCAGGAGCTAAGAACTCCATGCTGCTCTTCCACACAGGAGCCAGGGACCCACGCCATTTTATACTGTCTTTCCAGGTGCATTAGCAGAAAGTTGGATTGGAAGTGGAGTAGATGAAATGCAAGTCTGGACTCTAATATAGGATACCCGAAGCAGTGATGTAAACCACTGTGCTCTAATGTTTACCCCTAAGCTCTCCAGGGGAGCTGGATTTCTCTGACATTGCCTCAGTAGTGGAATTTGTGGCACTGATTTGTTACATGCAGGTGGAGACAGAAGTTTGGGGTTCTGTGTGGCATCCACTGACATGTGAGGTGGGGAATGGTGGGGTGGGGCGGTTGTGTTCCTGCTGGATGGGAGATCTGGTTCCTCATTGAAGTTCAGTTAGCTCCTCAGGGTTGTGGTGGAGCATTACTGTTTTGGGATAAAAGTTCTGGCTCTTTAATTGTCCTCTGGCACCACCTGGGCATATTGTCACAGCCTCATCGAACTGGGAGTCTACGCTCCCTACCTGGCCTTTACAGAGGTTTTCGCTGTGGTGTTTGACTGGAGTCGAGTGCCTGTTGGCTAAGGGTTTTCTGCTTGGTTGGGTTGATTCTTTACTGGCACGTGTGAGCAGTGTGTATATATATTTTTGGGGGAGGGAGGGAAGGTGACTTTTCTGTGGTGTTGGCTTCTTTCATTCCATGCATGGGAGATATGAGGCCAAAAGAAAACCCAAGGAACTCATCATCATGCCATTTCTTACTGCCTTGCTTCCTTCCTTCCTTTCTTTTTACAAAAAGATTTTATTTTTATTGGAAACACAGATTTACAGAGAGATTGAGAGACAGAGAAAGATCTTCCATGCAGGTTCACTCCCCAAATGGCCGCAATGGCTAGAACTAAGCCTATCAGGAACCGGGAGCTTTCTCTGGGTCCCCACTTGGGTGCAGGGTCCAAAGGCTTTGAGCCATCCTCAACTGCTTTCCCAGGCCACAAGCACGGAGCTGGATGGGAAGTGGAGCAGTCAGGATGCAAATTGGTACCCATATGGGATCCTGGTACATGCAAGGCGAGGATTTTTGCCACGAGGCTACCACTCTGGGCCCCATCATGTCATTTCTTGGATCCTGAGGTTTCTAGCTGGTCATTTGTTCCTTCTTTTACCTTTCAGTGTTACCTTATATGCCTTTTTAAAGCTGGATATCATAAAAGAAATAAGGAAAAGTATGTCTACTTTATCTTCCAGAGTGGAAGTCTTCTTGGACTCATGGATATTTATTTCTATTTTGGATTCTCACCCAGGATTGCTTTTTTTTTCTACTTGGCTGCAGTCATTGGGAATGTCTATCCCTTTCACATTAGAGTTCTCTGAGCTGCTTCTATGATGGAGAACGCTGGCACCTGGCAGAAGCGCCAGCCCTCCAGCCTCGTGTGGAAGGAAAGGCTCGGCTTCCTTCATGGGGCTTCCAAGTCTTTCCTTCATTTGACAAGCCGAGGAGAGGCCGAACTTGAAGCTGTGCTGTGGCTCCCCCAGCCTCTGCCCGACAGCCGAGAGACGAGCCGATGAGCTCATTACCGAGTAGAGGTGTCCGGTCCAGTCCTCCCCTTTCCTTGGCCCTTGTCGTGGCTATTTGATTGTAACAATCCCTGCCTTAGCTGATGAGGAAATGGGATTCGGCCAAGGTGATCACTTACGTGGAGTGACAGCAAGTGAACATGAAAAATGTGCCGGGCAACACGAGAAGACAGAGATCAGAAAGGCTTTTTCTTTCAACCTACATCATGATATTTTGGGCGTCGGCTAGAGTTTCCCAAGTTATTTGTAACTGTCCGTCTCTGTTAGAGGATGTATGTTTTATCTAAAAATAGGTAATCCTTCCTAATCAAATGATAAATGTGTGTGCGCCAAATGGGAGCCCTGTAGTTAGCCACCTCATTAGCAGAAGTTCAGTGAATAATGGAAATATGATCTGGTGCCTCAAGAGGCTCAGCATTTAGACACAAGAACTGTTTGAATTTTCTTGGCAGAAGGTGCTTCATGCTAGCAGAGGTAACCCTCAGAAGCCAAGACTTTGAGACTGCTATTTAAGGTGCTCTGTATTACTAGGAATATGATTAGGAGTAACCTAGCAGTGTGTGTGTGTGTGTGTGTTACTGGCGGTTGATACTTCCCTTGGGATTCATGTAGTGTAAAGCTTGCATCTGGCTCTTTCTCTCCTACTCCTTCTTGGGCTCCCAATGGGACATTTAGGCCACCGACCTCATGGGGGCCTAATATTCAACTCCTTTTCCCATAGAAGGAAATACACAGGGTTTTAGCACTGAAGGAACCTGCTGGCTGATTCCCTACCCAGCTGCCTTTTTGCGAGCCATCTGGAAAAACAGGAACACCAAGGCCTGAGCCTCACCTCCAGAGAGTCTGATGCTTTAACATACCAGCTCACTGGAGTAAGCTATGCTTTCACCTCCTCTTAATACATGGAGCCCTGGAGATCCAGGTCCAAGTTCCCTGGACCTCACAGTTGCTCTTACCAGGAGAATTTGCCCTGAGATGGCCTTTCAGAGGCCTGCATCTCAGCCTGCAGATGGGCCTTGAGGTGTGTGGTGAATTTCTTCCTTTTTGCCTGTGGTTTTCTAACCTGGCTGCGTGTGAACCTGCCCCGGGGATCTATAGTACATGGAGTCCTGGCGATTCCCTGCTGCTCTGGCTAAAACGATGTGGGCTGGGGTCAGAGTGTTGATGAGCTTTGGAATGTTTCCAGGCAATTCAAATGAATGTCCAGGGTCTGGAACCTGTTGGAGATCAACGACAAGACGTGGACCCCACGGTGGGGGTGGGAAGTGAGTTGGAGTCATTGCTGGGGCTCTTTCCATGTGCCTGGATTTCTATACATGAGGGAAGCTTGACCCGCAGTCCTTTACATTTGGATTATGTTGTAGCTAACATTCTTTTTAGCTGGTTGAAAAATTAAGATGGAAGATGCCATCAAAAAGTCTAGATTCCAGATCTGTCGTAGACCTGATGCCACGAGGCTGGCGGCTGGGTAGCCCTTTCTGGCTAGAGCAGCCCCATCACTGCTCTGAGAGTTGTGGGAATCTGCAGCCAGCTCACTTTCCCCATACCTGCCCATGATCTCTCTAGGATGCAGATTTGCCTTAGTTTCTCTCCCAGGTTGCAGACACCACATTCAGATGGAGGTTTTCATTCAGCCTGGTGGGTGTCTGGCAATGTCTGTTGTTAATGGTGATTGTCAGGGTGGAGGTGGGGTCAGGGTTCTGGCCCGCAGTGTGGGGAGAGGATGGAGATGCTGCTGGGCCACGGGGCACAGGACCACACCCCCTCATAGTCAGCCCCGAAGGTTACCTGCACTGAGGCTGAGAAACTGGCAAGGGGGCTGCTATGCTTCTTGCTTATCTCTGAGCACCACCCACCTCCAGTCTGCAGGGGAGGTGGCTGCAGGCCGTAGTAGGTGGTCAGCGAAATGCCAGTTGGCTGCCTGACTTGTGTCAGATTGGGCTGGCTTTCCCCCACACTCCTGCTGGGCTTAGGCCAGACGTGGTGTGACTGCTGAGTGCGCCATATGGCCCCATGATACATGGGTGAGGCCACAAAATGCCTGCCATATTTGAAGCAAGTGATCTTATGAATGGACTCTGGAGCAGAGACACAGTAATTGCATTTGGAGAGACTAATTCAGCACAAGGCTAGAGCAAGCGCATTTGTGGCGAGAACTGGAGGCATTCTGCTGCAGGGAGGCCGATTGCTCACTCTGAGGAGGGAGAAGAGGCAGGAAGTCTTAATCGTGCCTTTAACGATCAAAAGTGTTCTTAAAATCTGTCCTTTGGTTACCTGGTTGAAGAACGATGCTGACCTAGTGGGACGTACCAGGCAGTGTAAATTATGAATTGCTGCAAATGATGTGCTGTATCTGGCTCCCAGGCCTTGGCAGGAAAGGGCCAGAGGAAATGGGGCTGAGACTCCAAGGGAGCTGATGTGAGGCAGCCAAAGCTGGGACGTGCCGAACCCAGGCCCCATGGTGCCCTTTCTGGGGACCACACAATCTGTGTGATTTAGCTTGGCCACCACTGCATCTGGTCCTCTAGTTACATCCCGGAGAATGGGAAAATTTAAATCCCAACCGTCCAGGTTTTATGCACTGTCTTGCTTTAGTACTGAAAGTCCTGTGTCCTGGGGGGTCCTTCCGTGGCATGGGAACATCCTCTTCTCACTGGTGGGGTTGAAAGGCTGTGGGAAAAGCACAAAGCCCGTGCATCATGCCCCAGTGCAAGGCTGGATGCAACATGGCTGAGTATGAAGTGGATTTTGGATTCATGGTTTTCTTTGTGCAGTTGCTGTTGCTCCTCTACTCGTGGGCAGTGATGTTGGCCACCATGATGCTACTGCTCACTCTTGTTCAGGATCTGGCTGGAACTGAATATGGACCGAGTATGGCCTCTGGAGTCAAGTATGGAGTGTGTTATCTCAAATGATTTTATATCTGCCATGTGTCCTGGGGAAGCCATCTGAATGCTCCCAGACTTGGATTCTCATCAACACAATAGGAATCATAGGAGCTCCCTGGCATTTGTAATGAGCATCAAGTGTGACAGTATGTTACTATGCACACTGAAGGGCTTGTTTCAGAGGAAGTGATTAAGATGTGTTAACTGGGGGCCAGCACAATGGCTCAATTGGTTAGTCCTCTGCCTGCAAGTGCCGACATCCCATATGAAAATCAGTTTGTGTCCTGGCTGTCCACTTCCAATTTAGCTCTCTGCTTATGGCCTGGGAAAGCTGAGGAAGATGATCCAAGTGTGATGATCCCAGGACCCACCTGGGAGACCAAGAAGTTCCTGGCTCCTGGCTCCTGGCTTCAGACCAGCCTATTCCCAGCCATTGCAACCATTTGGGGAGTGAACCAACAGATTGAAGATCTGTTTTCTCTAATCTCTTCTTTCTCTGTAAATCTTCCTTTTAAATAAAAAATAATTTTTTGTTTTGTTTTTTGTTTATTTTAAATAAAAATAAATCTTTAAAAATGCATGTTAACTGTCTTCAGTAAAAGAATGCCGTTATGAGTGCCCTGGTGACTGCATCCCTGTTGTTGCGGGCAGCGGGTGGGTGTGGTCAGGAAGCTGGAACGGTCCAGCACGTGCTGTGAGCATCAGCTCTTCCGTGCCTGCACAGGAATGGTGGAGTGTGGCTGGGGGTGATTGCCTTTCACTTTCGTTCTCAAATGGCCCTGAACGCCAGTCATCTGGGCACTTGAGGGGTGTGGGGTTGAGGTGGGAAACAGGAGGAGATCAGCTGGGATTTTCCCCAATACCTAAGCATAGAAACATGATGGGCTCACCTGCTCTGTGTCCTGGAGTGCCCCTTCCATTCGGATGGCCGCAGCAACTATGCTGGTGAAGCCAGGAGGCAAGAGTTCTTTGTGAGTCTTCCCAAGCAGTGGATTCATTGTCTGGAGTGTGTACTTCGTAGGAAGTTGGGCACGAAGTAGATATTTCTCCTTTTCCTAAAATACAAATTTAGTGCTGTTAATTTCTCCTTAAGAACTGTCTTAATGGTATCCAGCAGCTTTTTACATATTGTATTTCTTTTTTTCATCTAATTAAAATACTTTTGTTTCCCTTATCATTTCTTCTAGGGTTAGAAATGTATCATTTGATGTCCATTTGAAGACTTTTCAGTGATCCTTCTGTTGTTTCTTAGTTCCAACTTTGGATCCCCACCCTATCTTGCAATGACCATCAGGGTCGCTCCGGAGCCCCCCGTCCTAAACACACTCACACACACGCACGCACACACAAATTGGAACAGATAGACAGAGAACAACAAGGAAAGCTTGGAACCAGACAGGAAACGGTCAGCGTGGACTCACACATACCTTACTACGTAGGACACAAAGACTAGTTACTCCTTCACTAACATATCGAAGATTTCTCTGCACAGCCCTCCTAAAACTGTTCTGCGCCTCAACTGTTGACATATGCCTTGTTAGAGTTATAAGCCAGTTTAGACTATCCCAGAATCTGTCAAATTCAGCAAAATTAAGCTTCAACACTATAAACTGCTGAATGCTAAAATGAAAATAGTCACGAGCCAGCTGAATAGTACCCTATAGTCATTTTAAGGTGTATAGCAGCCGGTTCTGTGTATAAATTAAAATTGAAATGTCAATGAAGTAGTCACAGGATGTGGTTAAGAACTTGCAGTTTTTAACATATTGGTTACTCAATACCATGTCAATTAATTCCATAATGTTGTAAATTGATGTTGAGGTTGTGGCTTTTAATTGTTCAGAATGATATTCTGCCAGCTCTGCTTTCAGACCAGAGATGGTCTCCCCAAGAAACTGTTGAACTTATCTGAACAGATGCTGGACTCTATGCTTGCAATAAAAGAATCTTGACTGAATTTGAACTGTAATGCTGCAACAAGGTGGAGGAATCCACCATGGGGGGAGGGTATGGAGAGGGGCTGGGGGAATCCCAGAGCCTATGAAACTGTGTCACATAATGCAATGTAATCAATGAAAAATAATATAAAAAAAGATTTATTTTTATTAGAAAGGCAGATATACAGAGGGGATGAGAGACAGAGAAGAAGATCTTCTGTCCAGTGATTCACTCCCCAAGCGGCTGGAGCTGAGCCAGCCCGAAGCCAGGAGCTTCTTCTGGCTCTCCCATGCGGTTGCAGGGTTCCAAACCTTTGGGCCCTCCTTGACTGCTTTCCCAGGCCACAGGCAGGGAGCTGGATGGGAAGTGGAGCAGCTAGAACTGGCACCCACATGGGATCCAGGTGCATGCAAGGCAAGGATTTAGCCACTAGGCTATTGTGTCAGGCCCAAAAGGAGAATTTTTTTTTTTACGAGTTGTTGCTCAATGAGTTGTTGGGCAGCCTAATCAATATGTAATTAAATACAAGAAGGTGGAGAGAAGGGAGTAAGGATCTCTGTATATTTGCCTTGCCAATAGAAATAAATAGATCTTTAAAAAATATTCTCTTTTCTCTGTGCTTTTCACTTTATAGAATTTTCATTGCATTGTCTTCTGTGATGCTTAGTTTGCTGTTAATCCCATTGAATATATTTTTAATTTCAGATATTGTAATTTTTATATCTTGGTTTGAGGTTTTTTTTTTTTTTTTTACAATTTTCCCTATCTCTACTTTTTAAGCACATGGAATATAGTGACAATAATTATTTTTGTGTTCTCATCTGATAATTCTAATATTAGTGTTAGTTGTAACTGTGTATCAAATGACTGGCTAGTCTCCCGCTTCTTTGGATGCCTGGTAGTTTTTCAGTGAATTCTGTAATTGAAGTGTTTCCTTCCTGGCTCTGGTTGTTCTAATTTCCCCCTAAGTACTACTGAACTTTGTTTAGGGATGTGGTTGTATTGCTTAGAGATGACTTCATCCTCTTGAGTCTTGCTTTGAAGATTGCTAGGCAGGACCAGAACTGCCTTTGGGCTGGGGCTGGTCTGCTGCTACTGAAGCGGGGTCCTGACTCGGCTGGTGGGACAGGCACTGTTCCCAGACCCCTGAGAAAGTTCTGTGCTCCTAATCCTTTCAACTGTCTGTGTCCTGGTCCTGCGTGTCCCCTCAAGCACGTGCCCGTCTCTGCTCTGCTGGACGCTGGCGAGGACCTTGTGGGTGATCTCTCTGAGACTGTCTCCTGTTTGGTTCTCTGTTCTTTGAGTTCTAGTTAGAATATATGATAGGCGGACCCCCACATTAACCTTCAACTCAAGAACTCCTGGGGTTCTGTCCAGATTCTCTCTGTGCTGTGGTCTGGAAACTGCTGAGGCAACCTGCTCCTCTCATCTGTTTCCTGATCTTGGAATGGCTGTCTTTTCTGTGCCTGAAGTCCAGCCTCTTGAAAACTGTTGTTTCCAACATTTTAATCAGTTTTTAGTAGTTTCAGGCAAGAGGGTTTATGTGGCTGGAGTCCACCATAAATACACTGCTGTAACTGTGACAATCAGGGCACTTCTTTCCTCCTCCCCCTCCACCTTTTTCTCCTCTTCCACCTCCTCCTCCTCCTTGAAGATTAGTTTACTTTTATTGGATAGTCAGAGTTACAGAGAGAAGGAGAGACAGAGAAAGAGAGCTCTTCTATCTGCTGGTGCAGGAGCTCAGGCCTTGGGCCATGCTCTGCTGCTTTCTCAGGCCATAGAAGCTGGATTGGAAGTGTAGCAGCCAGAACTTGAATCCGTGCCCATATGGGATGCTGGCATTGAAGGCAGAGGCTTAGCCTGACATGCCATCCTGCTGGCTCCGTCTTTTTCTGATCTTACCTGCTTTTCTACAGTATTCTGCTGCTGTGTTTTCCTCTGAATTCTGTGGCCTTGGACTTTCTATGCTTACTCACTATCTCAATCGGCTTTTCCTTCTTTAATGCAATTGATTTCTCTTCTGACCAGTGCTGTGCAATGTACACACAATGCATTGCTTCTTTCTATCCCGCCCATCAACCAAGGAAGAAGGACAGCTGTCCTTAGCACTTACTTGCTCTCTCTCTTTCCATCTTTCAACTCGGCCATCACCATGGATATTTCTCCTCTTTAAGCTGCTTTAAAACTCTCACCCCAGTGTTTGCCTTCCTCCGCTCTCTCCTCCTACCCCTGCAGTGTCCTTCGATCGTCAGCCTTTCATTACTTTAACTAAAATAGCCGAGAGAAACTACTTAGGAAGGACGATTTATTCTGGCTCACAGGTTTGAAGTTCATGGTCCAAGACAGGGCAATTCCATTGGTCTGGTGTCTGGTGGGGATGATGGATGGATGAATGGTAGAAGGTGCTATCTCAGGTTGGCATAGTTCTCTGCTTAAAAGCACCTTTTCCTCATTAAAAAAAAAAAGATTTATTGACTTATCTTTTAGAGGTAGAGTTACAGAGAGAGAGAGAAAAGAAAGACAGAAAGATCTTCCACACATTGGTTGACTCAAATGGCCACAATGGCTGGGAGCTTGCCCAACTGGAAGCCAGGAACTTCTTCCAGGTCTCCTATGTACAGGAGCCCAAGCACTTGGCCATGTTCCAGGCACATCAGCAGGGAGCTGGATTAGAAGTGGAGCAACCAAAGCTCAAACCAATGGCCCTATGAAATGCCAGCACTGCAGGTGGCAGCTTAACCTACTGTGTCACAGCGCCAGCCCCCTTCCTTTATCCATAGCAAGTGACTGCCAAGCAGACTCAACTGAGTTCTTCCAGCACCAGGACTTTGAGCTCCAAATCAGTAAGTCTCAGGTTGGTCCAGCATGGGCATCATGGCCTCCTTGAGGCCAACCTCATCTACGAGTCTCAGATGTGGAGCCAAACAACAGAGAGGTGAGGCTGGGAAGTTTGCATGCCGGACAGACAATTGTATCCCACAGCACTGGGTCCCAGTGATTTTTGCATTAAGGAATCAGCTGTTTATATCAGTGACTCTGATTTGAACCAACGTCTTCCTGGAATCCGTGCCTAATTCCAGATCATTAAAGCCCACACACCTTGTGTAAGCTCAGCTGCAATTTAACCATTTTGATATGCTCTTCTAAAAATCATTGTTGATTTGAATGTGATCCTATGATCACATTCAACTGTGAACATAAATGTTTACCTTTCTTATTATTTGAGAATCAAAGGACGGGGGAGGGGGGAGAGAGGAAGAAAGGGAGAGAATATGTGCATGTGTGTGTGCATGTGTGCGTGTGTGTGTGTGTGTGTATGTGATAGAAATATACTCTCTTCCACTGGCTCACTCCCAGATCTTCACAATGGCTGGAGCTGGCCCAGGGCTAAAGCCGGGACCTGGGGATTCAATCCAGGTCTCTCATGTGGGTGGCAGGGACCCAGTGACTTCAACAATTGCCACTACTCACCTCCCAGGTCCCGCATTAACAGGAAGCTGGAATGGGGAACTATATCTGGGAATCCAACCCAGGTATTCCAAAGTAGGATGTGAGTGTTCTGACATCTTAACCAGTAGGTCAAATATCCACCCCCAAATTAGCACATTTCTATTTCTTATAGGAAAGTATTAAATCCTTGGGCGCACATTTCACACAATAATCCCATATATGATCCAGCATGTCCAATCTGATGTGCTTATGGGAAAGACAGGCTGGATTAGAGAAACATCTGAATCCTAACATATATTTAAAATAATTCACACTTCTTTCTTACTGATTAACAAACTCTACTCTTGCTAGTTTAAGTAGAAATGATTTATTAGGAAACCCAGCCAGCTCCTAGAATGACAGACTTGAGGCTAATCTGTGGGAATGACTCCCAAAACCACCTTGTCTTGTTGGGCTGCCGAGGGTGGTGCTGCTGCTCTGTGGTCACGAAATTGTAGGAGGAGGCTGCACCGTCTTTGCCATGATTGGCCCCTTTCTCTCTGCATGTAAAAACCTTGAGGAAGCACCCCTCTCTCTATGCAGCTTAGCTCTGAAATAAGTATCTGAACAAGTACCTGGGACTACTGGAGCAAACCACACCTGGACCTCCAGCTGCAAGGCGGGCTGGGAGGGACTAGTAGGGGCTTTCAAGTTTCTGCAGCAGGAGTTGGAGCAGATGATCAAGGAGCAGGTGTCAGGATGCCCTACAATGTCTCAGAGAGAGAGACAGACCTAGATGCAGAGTCACACATGAGCAGTTGTGGATCCAGCAAAGCCTACCCAGGTCTATAAGAGGTCTATAGAATGGTCTGTGTGAGTGGACCAAGGAGATGGGTCCTGTAGGCACTCTGGCTGCACGAGCCTGGACTTGGCGCTGTCTCTTTCTGTGGGAGATACCTAAGAAGAGCCGGGGTTGTTCTCTCTATCACTGTCACTACCCATGGTAAAAACAGTTCTGATCTGGAGACTTGGAAGACCTTGTGCCTTTAAGCTGGATAAAACATGTAAAGAAAATACGACTTTGGGTGCACAGTGTAACATGTGCCCTGAAAGACCTCATGGTAGGAATTTAATTTTGTTTCTAGCTAGTTGGGGTTATAGAT